ACATTTCTCGTCCCCTTCAAAGGCACAGGCTACAAATCAGCGGTGTGAAAAAGCAAGCCTTAGATTAACGTGGTGCACCTAGAGGCTGTTTCAAAAAAAGGTCCTTGGATGTCAAAGGTCTCGTTGTTTACGCGGTCTCTGACAAAAAAAAGATGTTACAAACCTTTTGTCCGGAACCCTGAATTCCTTTTTCAGTTGCTCAGCGACTTTTAGGTCTCCTTGAAGTATGCAATGAAAAGTATAAAGTAATCCTTATAAACTAACCCCAGGACAGTATGATAGTGTGTGGGAATTAATTGACATTCAAGAAAGCTACTTAATAGTACTTTCTACACCGGTTTACTGTGCTTTGCAAGGTGGTTTTAACTACTTTAAGTCTGGATAAAATCTTTAAGAACGACAATTCGAACGAAAGCTACTGAACAGAGATTTCCTCCATATACTGTTGATTCCAAGTTCTAAGATTTGATTCTGTAGATGCAATCTTTTAGTATGGCCATTCAAATGAAAGCTTGTACTTGGCAGAGATTTCCAGCGGTACTGTTTATTAAGCATTTATTTAATGACAATTTAATTTTGATCATTCAAACGAGAGCTACGATTCAGACGATTTTTGGATCAATTGAGATTTTTGAGTAACTGACTACCTACCCCTCCTTAAAGTTTATACAATTTGTCCCTAAATAAGAAGTAGGGGTTAATGTTGACTTAGGGGAGAGGTAGGTGGTCAGTTAACTGGCCTCAATCCACAGTAAAGGCTAACACAGCTGGGTGTGTTAATGATCGTACCTGGTAGATAGTATCACTCAACGACAGATCCATAAATGTCTTTCTGTACTTCTCTTCTAGTTTGACTTGATATTCCATGAGTTTCATTTGTTCTTCTGTTGCCTGGAAAATTGAATCGCGCGTGCATACAATGCATCACTGACAAGAAATGTTTTGTTAATATTTATAATATTGTTCAGATATAGAGTGTTTTCACTCACGTGACCAGCATCTATGCAAATTTTTTTGGAACAAAAGATAGCGTTTGCATATAAAGAAAAGAGTTATACTCCCAGAGGATTGGTTTGGGACACCAATATGGCCGCCATGACGTCATGTGAAAACACTCTTTTAACGCGCACTCTGATTGGATGACAAAGCGTGTTTATCAGGATATAAAACACGGAGCTTAAGCTTTCACACCATTTGCCAATAGTTTGTTTTGAAAATTAGAAAGTAATGCGTGGCGAATTTAACGGATTCTTTATCATAAAACCAATAAAGAAACCTTTACTGTGCTTTGTTATGTTACAAAGCACTTAAGAAGTAGGGATAAACACTCTCGACTAAGTCTTGTGCGTCCCCCTACACTCGCTGTTTCGTACACTAGCCCGGCGCTTCCTCCTGCGTAATAATATTTATATCAGTTCAGAGCACAGTCAAGGTATTTGTTAATGAAACACAGCGAGAGGAGTGGAGAGTTTCTGGGTGCTTTTGAAACGAATGTCGCACGTTTATCCCGTATCCTAGATTACTAGACAAAACATAACGTCCGTCTTCCGTTTCTTCACATAGTAAGGAATGAGTGGCTCTAGCGTTGAAGGAGTTTGAAGTATTTTAAATCAAAGCAACAAAGTGAAGAGCACACACCTTTGAGTAGAACTGAAATCCTCCTTGCTGTTAAGACATCTGTGCTTTGGACAATGTGTTCATCTTGGATTCTATTGTCTAAATAATAAAAATAGAAGAAAATCAGATTTTATGTCAAGTGTAGTGACAAGAGATATCAAAACGATGATTCTATTCTATGGCCGGTAACATTTCATAGATAACGAATTTCCTGTTATTTCTCAAGGAATAATAAGGTGAGCGCCAATCTCTTTTCCAAGGATGTGATCCTTTTGGCTCAGGACTAAAAGTAACCGCTCCGCCAGACAAGGTTAGTAAAAGCTCTGCGGAGCAGATTGGGAGAGAGACCGGAAGGCGTTACGCAACTAATAATTAACCCTTCGCGTGACGGCCTTTCCTACAGGGCTGCGATTTTCAGGCGCGCACGCTTTGTTCGCTGTACGATCCCTGTGAAAAATAACACATAACTTGTAGTCTTATGTCTCCTTTGGTCACGTGGTCGCTGCATGTATTGAGGGCCACTATTTACAACGAAGAAATAGACGGGAACAATTAGCGCATGCGTACTAGATATCACTGGTTATGATTAGAACGAATTTTTGTAAAGGTTTCGAGTTTAAACACGAGAAATGTGCGAGTTATATTACAAATAAGAGTTGCTCCACGTATTCTTGGCTCCTCCTGACGCTCAAAATAAACAAGATTGCTGCCGACCATTCGTTCACAGGGGTTTATCCCATTTTCCAACGGGGAAACGTCCCGGCAATGAGGTTGAGGGGAGCTTTGTAGTCACCTAAAGTCACGGAAACAAAAATAATCTATGACGCCATGAAGAAACGGAGTGAAGCGTACGCACCCTTTTGCTCAGAATTGAAATTACATATTAAAGAAATAAAATAATAAAACAACATTCGACCAGATCCCCTCCTAAGCAAGATAGCATGCAAGCTACTTTATGTGATACCTTCTCACTGTAGCTGTCCTGCACAAAGGCATTACCACTGTTCATAAACTGGTCATCCTGGTAGAACAGGTCCACAAGTGTACGGCGATCCTGATCCTTGCAGTACTGCAGACAAATCACAGTCTTGCCAAAGTGAATATATAGGTTTCACAATAGCCTGCGTGGTAGTTTGCGTAACAGGTGCAAAAACGAGAGAAGAGGGGGAGGGGAGTGAAGGGAAAAGAAGCAAAAATGAAAAAAGGTTTCTTTTTTTTTCTCTTCCCTTTACCCCTCCCTTTTCACTTTTTTCAATACCTCTTAAGCCGCCTGTCACAAAGTCTAACGATTACAATAACCGAGCGATTTACGCGCCCCGATTGGTCGAGAACTTTTGCTTATGACAGTACAGAGAAGAGAAACAGAACTGAAGGTTCTTCTCTTCTCTGTTTCTTGAGTGCGATTCTCCGGGACCTTGAAAAAAACAAATAGAAACGTAGCCATTTTTCACTGCCGCAACTCCGACATTCCAAAGAAATGAGATTAAAAATGCTCCAAACTTTACCGTAAAACCTCTCACCCCTCCACTTAAGTTTTAAACATTTTAACGTCATTTTTATGGCCTTAAAGAATGAACAGATAAAGGAAAAAATGTCTCCTGGCAAATAATGGCGGATTTTCTCTTGGTTGAAGCCTTGAACAAATACGCACTCATTTACACAACTTTTTTTCATCGACTTACCTTGATGTAGAGGCTGAGTGCCACAGGATGGTAACGTATGGCCATCAAGAACTCACCAAGAGTTAGATTATCCTTCAAATGCATAACAACCATATACACTAGAAAGAAAAAAAAGACAACACAAATGAAATGTCATCTAGATACAGGGGAAAATCAAGTAGGCGGGTTTTGGAAAACGGCAGTTCGGATCCATCAATTTTGATCACCTGACCAGAGAAAGCTGTTACCATTGGAGGAGAGCATGTAAGGATCAAGATGGTTGAAATATACTTGAAATTGTGTCAACGGCGAGGGAAGATCCAAATAATGAGCAACAAAACAATCTCAAAAATGTTTTAAGGTTTGAAACTCTGTCTCAGCTTGTAACGCCGCTGGTGTAACGCCAACTTTTAAGCTGAGAAAGAGTTTATTCTAAATTTTTGGAACCTTTGGTACAATTTCAACATTACGATAGATCTTTCTATAAGTCGGCTCTTGCGGGTACGACGAAACAAAAACGGGCTTCAAAAATTGTTCCCATCCACTATACTTAAAGTTAGCTGTAGTTCTCTGCAGTGGTACCCACTTATAACTCACCCAGATCCGTGTCTCCACTCATAATGGCCTTCTCGAGCGCTAGGTCATCTTTATTCATGCGCATGAGCAGTGGAACTTGGTCAGCGGCTTTTGCTTCATAGTCCAACAGCTACAGGTAAAAAACCAGACCACGAAGATGTGAGTATCTTAAAAGATACATTATGCATCATGGCATAGCCTGTACACAGACGTTGTTTTATTGTTCTTTTCGTTCATTTCAAATATAATCCCCTGCGGCTTATATTTCATCACCCGCGCTCGACGGACTTTGAACAGGCTATCATGGCATGGCTATGATAGGCTCGTTTACCGATTGTAAAACGACGAACTTACTATGGTGAGATTGCTCCAGCTAGAGGTCAAGGCTGGCTTTAAGCCAGGCTGTAGGCAGGTCTCCTCGTGGAGGCACAAGCGGCGAAGCCACGAGAAAGGCTGTAGGCAAAACCTGGACGCAGAACCGGATCAGATCATTCCCAGAGGCACTATCCCTTATCTTTCGTTATCCAGTAAGTTACAGGTCTGATCTGACCCGGTCCGTTCAAGGTTTTGTTGACGTCTTATGAGACGAGCATGTTGGTAACCCCTGGAAAGAACAATGGTGAAAGTTAAGAAGTTATATTGATCAATGGCCCACGTTCGATATATTAAAATTCTAACATGACTCCAAGGCTTTAGAGTCAAAATTGAAAATTTTTCACGACTCAATTGTCTCGAAATTCCCAAAAGAGAATTAAGCACAAAAAAAAAAAAACAAACCCAATAAGGAAAAAATGACCAGAAAGCCTCGGAGCCATATAGAAGCAACATTTCGAGTGCTATCCCTTCTTCGCTCTGACGAAGGGCTAGAGCATGAAACTTGTTTGTATTTAATTTATCAACTCATTTGTTAAACCTCTCCATATTCCATTCCTCCATTGGTCTTCTCTGCAGCCGTACGTTTTGTTTCTCGACATGAGTCCTTTAACAATTGACTAATATTTCACCATAGTGGTGTTGCTGATAATAAAGCGGACCGCCGAACTTGTAACAAAGCGCGGTCCTCATACTCCGGATACTGAAAAAAAAAATTCTTGATTACCTACAGTAAAAGCAATCTCGCAGGTAAAAAAATCCCATTCTGTACCAACCCCCGTTATTTTAAGCCTCAGTGCATTTAGCAAGGAAATACTAACGGAGGACACCGCTTTATGCCTCAAATTGTGCTTGGAACGTAATCTATAATAAAACTGTTCACATGTGAACGCTCTCAACTAACCGTGATGGCCAGGTGAGTTCGTCCACAGTCCACTGCCTTTGAAGCTATTTCTGAGTACGATATCCCAGGAGTCTCTCCGAGCTTGGAGTTGATGGCACGAGCAATCTCTTCGTCATCAACATTGGCTTGCTGAACCTGTTTAAACAAGAAAAGCAAGTTTTGAAGAGGTGTAGGATCGAAAGAGATGTCAACATATTCAACACAAGAAAAACTATTTACGGACACTATTGTATTCTACTAGGGCGGAGAAGTTAATTTCAATGTGATCATCCCAGCCATGTGAAAGTCCAACTGTTTATTTATTGAGGAAATAGAACACAACAGGATTAAAAACCCCAACTGGCAGGAGGCAACCAGTTGGTTATTTACAAGCATGACTGGGTATCTGAACTTGGAAATACCGTACCGCGAATAATTTTAGCAAGTGGCTATAGTGGGACTCCAACCCGGGACGGGCGGATTGCGAAAACAACGCGATGGGCGCCTGGCCACGCTGTCTTCACCGCGTACAATCCAGTCTAATTGATCTAGATCTTTTCATAGGTTGATTTTGTGATCTTTGATAAATACACAAACACGAAGAGAAATGAGCCAAATTCAGCACATGAAACAACCACCGGACACCCAACTCCAGTCATGTCTACTGCCACAACTATAATTCACCATTACCAATTTTATTAATTACCAGCCATAAGCTGATTGCGGGAAGACCCCTGCTTACATATGGAGTGTTTTCACATGACGTCACGGCGGCCATATTGGTGTCCCAAAACAATGAAACGGCGGCCATGTTGGTGTCCCAAACCAGTCCTCTGGGAGTTGAACTCTTTTCTTATGCAAACGCTTTCTTTTGTTTCGATAAATTTGCATAGATGCTGGTCATGTGAGTGAAAACACTCTATAGGTAACAGCCAACCAGTATCCGCTGGTTACACTCACTTTATAACAAGCCAAGTGTCCAAGGATGCCACTGGCACCCTCCCCCTTAGGAATCTTCCAGTAATCACAGATTCTTATGGACAGACAGTAGTGACGTCTCAAAACAAGCCTACATGAGCAGAAAATAAACGGTAATAAAATAAACTTAAGGGAAATAATTCCATCTCCAGGTCTGTTGGTGGAAAAATCAATGTAGTAAACACGGTTTAGACACGGAAAGTAGGCAAGTAAAAAAACAAAAACTTTGCTTCAACTTGTTTTATATTCACTAGGAATATAAATAATTTTGATATTTAGAAATGACTTAAGTCCAACCACGTTACCATTTTAGTCAGGCAAAAGAGAAAGGTTATCGGACATACACCATATTCATTTTGCTATTTCTTTCTTAAAAGTACTATTTCGTACTATGTACTATAGCGGGTCTGGTGTATAATCAATAAAAATTTCGACCCTCCACACTATAGAGCTCCCAGCAGCTCAGTGGGGAGAGCGTCCTGATCTTGAACTCGAAAGGTCGTAAGTTTGATTCTCACCTGAAGCTCGGAACTTATTGAACGTTTCATAGTGCAATAAACACTTAAACACTTAATGACTGGTCTCGAGGGAAACAGTTAAATTTGTTTTCCGAGAATCTCAATGTTTCCCGAGGCTATATAGCTGGAAATTCATTAAACCTCGCTTCCCTCGCTGTAACGGTCATGTGACCTCGGAGAAACCAATGAGAGCGCGCACTGTTATGAAAAAATTTCCAGCTACAGTCGAACCTCGCTATTTCGAACTCGGTTAATTCGAAGTCCCCGCTATTTCGAAGAAAGATCGAATGCCCTTGGATTTACCTTTCCCCTTTACGCTTCCCCGGTTATTTCGAAGCCCCGCTATTTCGAACTTTTTTTCATTTCCCTTGGGACTTCGAAATAGCGGGGTTCGACTGTATATGCAATACACCTTTTTTACCGCCCCCTCCCCCTCAAAAAATGCTTAAGCATTGCACGTTTTACCTTTTTTAAAAAGATAACAAACAGCATGACAAAAACAAAACTCACCTGTTGATAAGGGTCTTCATTGTTACTTTTTCCAGTCTAAGACGATCGTCAAGGCGTCAAAATTGGATAATTTTTTAAAATAACCAGAGTACTCTCAGAGGACAAAAAAGCAAAATGGAGCCCAGTTTAAGAACTTATTAAGAGCCACAAAATTGAAAACTGTGTTAACGTACTTTTATCATATCCCTTTTCAAAAAAGAGAAAAAGGAACATATCTCGTTCGTTCCCTGTAAAAAAAAAAAAAAGTTATTTAAACCCCGCAGTTTTGCCCCGTTACATAAATCACACCGAAATCACCGTTCTCTTGTGTGGACAGAAACACTCTCCGATATGGTTTCTGTCCCGACGCAAGAGCTAACTGGCATAGTGTTAGACTAACAAGAAAACGTTTCCGCGCAAGTTCGTCGAAAGTGTTGGGACTAGAGCAATGATAACTTACTTGAAGATGATGTGAACTGCGGAAATGCAAGTTTCAATGAAGATATGATCGTCGCAGCGGAAATTCCAATTTAAGCAATTGCAAATTAACCCGAAAAATAAAAAAAAATTTTCGTGTTGCTACGGAGGCTAGCATAGTGTACACTTGCTGCAACACACGCTGCAATTAGGCAAAACGTAACCTGTGAGACGAGGCTTTTGCAACAACTGACATTTGGTTCACTCTTGAATTAAGATAAAGGATATTGTCCATATGTAACTGGAATTCCAACCATGTAGTCCCGCACGGCGTTTAACACTCTAAGATTCCGGCACATCGAAACAAACGCGTGTGGCGGCATATCAGTTAGAAAACTCTCACCAAAGGAAGCAGCCTAGCAAAGAGAAGAAAAGATTACAGCTGAGATTAGTAAAAAAAAAAAAATCGGTTATACGTTAGGTGGAATTTTCCCCAACATCGACCGCCGGAGCGCTCTTATTGGTTACTACGAGGACACATGACATGTTACACGAGAACTATTTCCCGCCTAAAATCTCTGACCAAGCGACGTTACAAACTTCGCTTGGTAGATGGTAACAGAGCAGTGTTATCGGCGAATGTTGACCACTCGCTGAGATTTGCTATACTTTCAATTCATCCTGTATAACTGAAAAATCACTGAATGACGCCGTCGTCGAAAGCATTAATGAAGTCCTTTATGTCTCTTACTACACTCCTCAAATAGAAACATAATGGACGAACTATTTGCGCTCCTTCGCTTTCAATTCAAATTACTCAGATATATTGAGTACAGATTTTCTTTTCACGGTATCACGTTCAACGATTTATGCCCAAGCGAATTTGAAGGAACTTCAGCAGATTAACCAAAACGGTTTTAGTAGGAGGTGGTGATTTTGCCACGGAAGACAGATAATGTATTTTTCAAACAATGGTAAATTTATCTAGCAGTTTACAGAACACCAACCACTGTGTAAGAAACCTTAAACTTGTCAGCAACTCCCCCACCCCCTGGGGGCGGGTTGCTGTGAAAATCGAAACGTAGCAACTGAACGTAAGGATCATGTGGTTACCATGACTACCTCCGAAACTATACTCACCCTCAGCAGTCCTCTTTGTATTGCAGGCTCATGTTCCCCGGCAGCGGCGTGGATACATTGCTGGACAGCCTCAGGAAGACGTTCTTTGATCATCCGAATGTACTCCTCTGCTCGGGCGCTCTTTTTCTGTTTACAGGAATATACACGAAAGAATCATAACGACAGCTTAATTTTTAGGGATTTAGTTTTTAGTGTAGTTTAGAATCTTTAAGTTGAAACTTTAACGTTGTTCGTCAGGTATTCTTTTTATTATCATTCTATGTTTTTCTTCATTCGTCATTGTTCTTTCTTATGAATTCTGTAAAGCCCTATTGAGCTTTTGATTATTTTTTATTATATGGAAAAAGTTGGCTCAGCTAGGATGGTGACCTTACCAAGGAAAACAGGTCACCCAACAACAGGCTCGCCCAGGGTGGCTCGCAGTGGTGGTCTAACAATAAAGGGGGTGGGGGCGAGCCCCCTTGACCCCTCCCCTAGATCCGCCACTGGCTTGGGTAGGCGGCTGAGCCTTTTACCCGAGACAACTTTTTCCCAGAGAGAGTGAAGCACTGCTTACCTCAAATTCCTTTGATGCATCAAACAGCATCGCACCTGGTTCCATTGAACCGATTTTAAACACTTGTTCCTTAGCAGCTGAAAGATAAAAAAAAAAATAGTTGCTCTAGTGTCGGACATAATTACCGTATTTATTCGATTAACCGCCCTGGGCGCTTATTAAATTTTTGGACTTTGAGAGTGGGCGCTTATTCGAGGTGGGCGCTTGTTCGAGGCTGGGCGCTTATTAAATTTTCTCCATTCTCAGCATGTGTATTATGTTTATTTTGCAACAAAACAATAAATGGTAATAACAAAACTCGAAGATGTAACAAGTCAAGGTTCCTGTAAAATACTTTGAAGAAAACTCCGTCTTCGGGGAAGTCTCTTATTAGTACTTATTCAATTTTTGGGGCGTGGGGTGGGGGTGGTCGCTTATTTGAGTTTGAATGGGAGTGGGAGGGAAGTGGGGTGGGCGCTTATTCGAGGCTGGGCGCTTATTAACTTTTTCTGCCTTTGGGATGGGCGCTTATTCGAGGTGGGCGCTAATTCGAGGTTGGGCGCTTATTCGAATAAATACGGTATTCACATTCGTGATAAGAAGTGGTTCTGGCTGAACGGTAACCGGTCAAGTCGCCCGAAAGTCTAATTAGCCGAAACCAGAGTCATGCCAACCGAAATCCTAAGTCATGTCGCCTAAAATTTTATCGAGTGTATAAACTTGAACAAAGGTAACATCTGAAGTATATTGCAAGGAATTTAGTCAAAAAATGTTGACTCAACTGTGTCCGGTAACCTATGCAAAGGTGAAGTTAAACAAAGACGCAAATATCGCTGTTTATTTTGAGCGACATGACTCAAGATATCGGGCGACATGGCTCTGATTTCGGACGACTTGACTGTAAACCGATTGAACAAGTCCACTGGAATAAAGTTTAGGACTTTTTGCTTGTTCGTAACAACAGGGTACCTATTTTCTTTGGAGGGCGGAATACTGAATGTAGAGTCAGTCCCATCTGCTTCCGGGGAGTAAGTTGAAAAACCATACATGAGCCGCAGCAAGACCACACTCAAGACTGAGCTAAAGGTTTAAGTCGACAGTCTCGGGAGTTTATTTCGCTTTAAGCACCTACAGGTAACGACACGTTTTAATAGAAGGTAATTTGGAAAAGCATCAAATGTCTGTGGAAAAGAAATAAATCTCAAGGACATCCCAGCCACCAACAGGGATTGTTATTTTTGGCTATTTCGATAGCTTTATGACGCTTTATCTGCGAGCATTTTGAAACCTTTCACTTGTAGTCTGCTAACACAGCCGTTTCACCTTGCTCCTCGTCGCTAGGGAGGTTTCACCAGGAGGAGAAACCGCCCGCAATCAACGTAATCATATTTACCAACCTGGAACTCGCTGAAGCAGTTCATGAGTTTCATTACCAATGATTCTTACGCCATCTAACTCTTGAACTAAATGAACAGCACTGTCCATCTGATATGTGAAATGTGTTAAGAAAGTGTGCTATCCGTAGCATATGCATATTTATTAAAACTGAACCACTGAATAATACAGTTAAAGAGCTCTGATTGGCTTAGCCATCATGGTATATGAGCCACATACCAAAAATTGAAAATCGGTTGTTCTTACAAATAAAGTCGGGAAGAATTCACGATATTTTGTGGGCGTTTTTAATAAACAATTATTCCACTCATATCCAACGCGCTCTCGCGCAAAAATTGTTAAATATATGGCAATAGCGTGCTCAATGAAAAAAAACTACTCGTATCTACCGTACAGTCGTTGCATCAATGCAACGCGCACGAGTATTTAATGCATGAGCCTGACCGTTTAATGGCCCGATCTCGAGAGTAAAGGTACCTTTATTCACCTTGATTGTACGCAAAGGCAAAATTTCTCAAACATTTATCATGCGATCCTGGACGTGGGTTTTAAAAAAACGTGACCGGAAACGCAATGGAAACAAGAAAGAACGGAAATGTGATAAAAGAAATGTGGCGGAAACATGATCGTTCGTTTCCGACTCGGAAACATAACGGAAACGCGTCCCGTCCATGGAAAACTAGATCACCATGTTTCCGTAGGGCGGAAACGAGACGGATTTAAGCAACTTCACTTTTCAGTCGAGTTTACAAAATACGGAAACACGTTATTTCGTCCTGTGACAGTAGTAACAATTGTCAGTTCAAATCAAGGGTGTTTTAAGTAACACGATCAATATACAATTGCAGCATGACAGCACAATTACCAACTTGGCCAAGCCAACATTTACAACAACAAGAAGTACAATTTTTAATCCTAGCATGTTCTAGCAGTTAGATAGCTTGCCCCGCAAATAGTTGGAAACCTAGTCTGATCATCATAAAGAATGATCTTGTTAATCAAAGGATATCTAATAGTGTCCATTGTCGGTCCAACAACATCCAAATAATCGTCCCAGTAACATATGACAGCGCCCATTGCACACCTGTAAGGCAAGTTGAAATAAGTAAAGATCGGAACACACAAGGAGACAAGTTGCAGCAACACTTGTCGGCGACAGAGTACTCCCTGTGTACAGGTCAGGCGACTAGTTGCTACAACACGTGTCGGCGACAGATTACTCCCTGTGTACAGGTCAGGCGATTAGTTGCAGCAACACGTGTCGGCGACACGTCGCTTGATGGGTGGCGGAAGAAAGAAAAACACCGATGGCTCTTAGTTTGAATTCAAAGGAATGGCCCGGCCAACCGGGCGAGAATTCGCCATAAAAGACGAGAGCCTTCATTCTAGAAACAACAATTGCTCCCTCCTTACCAGGTTAGTTGCTTGGGTCTTGATGGACAAGACGTGTTGAACTCACAGTAGACTTTCTAAAGAAGACAGAAATACAACAATAACTACAAAATTCAAAGAACTGCAAAATACAGGCGTACTTAAGTTGAGCTCTTCAGGGCCTGACCTAGCGGTCCGGGTTGCTAAGCTTACTCGCTTTGCGGAGATGTCAGCAAGTTAAATGAACACAATAAAAATCAACTTTGCGATCACATGAAAAATATTAATTGTGTTTGCAAGGTTTCCGAGGAAGAAGAGGCTAAACTAAATTAATGATGATATCCCACCATGGAGAACTTAGGCAGATACGGGTCTTTATTTGTTACAAGAAAAGATACCTCAAATCCGACTAGTATAAACAAAAGCCTTTTTACACGCCTTCTTCAAACCTGGGTAAAGAATCAAAGTTAGTTCTGCCAGTTGAATTAGACCGCCATTCGTTCTCATTTTCTAAGAATCCGAGTCAACTCGGCGCTAGCTACTGGAACTCGTCCTCTGATAGCTAAATTTGCGGGCTGAACAAATGTGACAGTGTTATACCCACCTGTAAATCTGCTGATCCTATCCATAACAAACCAGTGTCTGTAAACATTGCTAGGTATTCATAATTGTAAGATATGGCCATTTCTATGATGGAAGTGACCGGGGCCCCAGCGCTGAATGAAACAGTCTGAAAATTGAATAATATCAAAACTATTCAACAACAACAGTAGCCGGCGAGCATACTCACTAGTGTGACTTCGGGGAAAAATTTGTCAACATTATAAACAATCGAGACTTCGCTATTTCATATTTAAAGTTGTGACACTGATAAAGCCAGAGATGTACAATATTTTCATTGCGACATCTCAAGACACCTCTCTATTTTTTCCCTTCGGTTGCTTCCTTCTCCCCGCTCCCACTGCTTTGCTACGCCCTGTGGCTGATTCAGGATTGGTAAAAAGTAGCAACCTGTCTTACACTTGGCTCTCAAGAGGAAGTTTACGATGTCCAGACAGCGACAGCAAAGAGAAAGTCAAAAAGGCCACCGGGCGAATTTTTGACCGGCTGAAAATGCGAACGTTCAGTCGAATTCGCAACCACGATTTTTCGCGCAAGCCGCAACACGGCGTTGCAACATTGTTGCGATATTGTTTCGAATGGTTGCAACGTTGTTCCAACATTGCAACGCTGTGTTGCGGCGCATCGTCTCCTATAACATCACCTTAACCGTACGAAAATTCAGACGCATAGCCGTTCAAAGTTCCGTGTGAAAAGCGAAAAATATTGAACGGTCGCGGGTAAACAATGTGTCCGGACAAATTTTTTTAGCCGGTCGAAAATTCGTTAAACAATAACTCTGCACGTGCATCACGCTTCTGGCAAATTTTTCCAAGACGGGAAATTTCCTAATTTCACGTTTTATCGAAAACGTGAACACGATGATCAATTTTTCTCTTTTTCGCTTAGGTGGGGTAACCTGCCTGTCCATAATTATAATCCCTCATTTTAATTTGAACACGTTTACATGATAGGTGGGGTGACCCACCGCATGTTACCTCACCTATCTGGGGTCCCCCATCTCCATGTAAACAGGGCCTAAGAATTCAACTCCTAGACAAGTCCAGGACTCCCCTGCATTTGACAAATTATGCGAGTTGGATTCATCGCCGTGAAGTTTCACGCAACGCGAATTCTCTTTTTAAGAGACGTTTTCGCCACCGTTGCTGAGTTGCGGTGTGCGAATATCTGCTAGATACACGTTTCTTCAAATCCTGAAACTGCCAACGAAAAGGCAGATGTTGTAAACAGATGGGAACTCTACAAAAAAGCATGTCTTGAGCAGAGAGATATCTTGAAAGGACTGGATTATAAGTGGTCGTATTACTGACGATAACAGGGTCGGTTATAAAAACGAAGTTTAATTTAAGCCGGGGTTTAACGAATATATGGACCTCCAGAATCTCTTCCTTAGTGCGATATTTTAAGAAGATACATGCTTTTCTTTAATTAGCCTACTCTATATGCTTTCATAAACACTTCCCAATAAAACCGTTGGGCAAATTGAAAAATGTCTTAGAACGCCGTTTTGTTAAACACTGGCTAAACTAGGTTAAAATAACTGGAGCTATGTTTCTTAAGATTCATGACTGGTCATTTTTTATAGGTTTTGCAGTCAAATACTTTGGATTCCTTGGCATCCTACAAAAAAATGCAGATAAAAATTACCAGTTTCGTCTGCTGTACCCAACTTAAAAGCACCAGATCTATGAAGTTGCTGTGTATTTGATAAGGCCACATGCAAAAACAACATAAATACAATGTATGTAATGGGTTAAAATCATACCCTGGTTGATTCTTGATTTCCTTTGTCTCACAGAGCTAATTCACGAATAAATTAGGACTAGGAGACAAAGGAGATAGAGAATCAACCAAGGCTAAAAGCTTTTAACCTGAATTGAAATTTTGACCTGAAACATACACGACATAGGGGTAATATTATTCAATGGCTATGCATTTGCTACAAAAAGTATATGTATGAGTATACTCTATTTTTGTACAACCCTTTTAATAAAGTAGCAAACAGTCTATGACTTATGTTTTTGATGTTAATATACTGTATTATAAATTACAATTTTTTTTGCTTATAGTTATGGAAAAATTAATGATTATTTAATTTGTCACAAAATTTATTTACTTGGGGTGGTTAAAGAATTTACTGACATAAGATATGGCATCAATGGGCTAAGATGAGCTTCAAGTTGACTAGAAGTGGTCAAGCTGTGGTGCTTTACAAACATACATGCATCATGTCTTCTTTTTCAGCCTTTTCATGACACAAAATGATTTAACACTTACCTGTCCCATTGACAAGGTTTTCTTGATAATTTGTGCCATGAATGTCATACACCATCACTGTACCATCATCAGCCACGCAAAGTAGGTCCTCTGTGACGGACCATCCCATCTGAACTATGGGGCCTCCATCCCACTAAGAATAAAAAAGAACACTTGATCAATAGCCTACAGAAGCAGAACGTTTTTGTTTTTGTTCTTGTTCCCATGCAGTGATGGACTAGTCTTCTTCAGTGCTGCTTTTAGCGTTGTCACGCAACGCTCCTCCCCACAAGGGAGGTGGGTAGGAGCATTGTGTGACAACACTAAAAACGGCTGTGAAGCAGACTAGTGATGGACTAAGATAGATCCATTCTGCCTGCTTCAGTAACTAGTCAGAATATTACTTCATCTTTCCTGCTCACAGAACCAACCATATGATAATACAAGTTCCTGCCCTTTTCCAAATGCAATAACAGAAAATGATGACAGTTAGTCTTCTAGCCAAGAACAATATTGCTAAAATTTGTCAACATTAAACAACTAGTAGCCTGCTCGGCCTGATCAACACTCCTCTTTGTCTGTGTTCCCAGGTTAAACAACAAGCAGCAGTAGACCTTAAAAAAGGACACATACCTTAACTGTGGCAAGTTCTTTTCCAGCAGAGGAAAAAATGTGAATGATGGGTTTATTAATAGCTGATCCTTGGACTCGAGCAAAATGCTTGTCATCTCTTATCAGAGCTGAAAATGTTAAATACAACAAATACAAACCATTCCTCCAAAAGGGAAATCTCAATGTAGGGGGCTGCAGGACATGTAAATATTTAGGTGTACAGTCCCCACCCCCATGTACAGTTGTGTAGGAGCTGCTCGTAAGGTCTCTGCTAATTGGTCGCAGAAAACAATGACATCATTCTTTCAATTGCTTCAGTAATGTTTGGGGTCAGGGTTAGGCAGCATTGGTGACTTCTATTCTGAGCAGCTGCCATATGACCCCCCATGTATGTAGACGAGTACATGAGTTAGCAATGGTGTGCATTAGTGATTAAACACACCACAGGGGCATGGGGCAATTTAGCATGGAGCCCTTCAATTATATATTTTTTTAACTATTACTGACAGTTAAGCATCTACATACAACACAGCTGGACTGCAGGTTGAAAGTAATGAAATTTTTTAATATTTTATCAATTGCATGTTTTATGCACTAGCTGTTCTAAAATAATAAGAAGCAGGATGTTCTTCAGAGTTGTTTTCTTCCTTTAAACTTTTTTCAGCCAAATCCCTTGACATGTACAGACAGTTGACTGAAACAAAATTCCGGTACAGTATAATGGACTCTTGCTGATATAGACATACAACCACAGAAACTGGCATTAATAATTAATGCCGGTACTTGCATTTCTGTGGTTCTGGCTCTTAAATGTTTACCCTGGTGAGTCCTATTTACCTTGAAGGGACGTGATCATGGTTATGCGCATGTGCACCGTTTGCCTCTTCAGAATAAATTTGTCGGGTCAACACTAAATTCAAAATCGCCATTACCGGTACAATCATTGAAAATCCTTCGTTTTATTCCGACATCTGTCGCTTTGGCTGGCCTAGTTATACTTCAGTAGTGGTGATTAATGTGTGGTTGTGTTGTTTGACTGGTTACGTTTTAAGTAGACGCAAAAAATAATGTTTTGATCATGGAGGTTCAGAAGAGCATCGTGGCCGTCCGGCAACAGGACGTTCTCAAGAGTCTTTGGAGATAGAGAAGCTTAGCCGATCGATCTGGTATGGTTCTAGGAGTAGTGTGTGGCTTACGAAAAGAATAAACAACATTTGGAAAGTGGTTAAAGGCATGAGTTCGTTCAAAGTTGATTTAATTTTTTTTCTGTAGTTATACCGCAACAGGCTGCACGATCTTCCCGATCTGGTACACTTGAAATGACTGTTTCTTGTATCTTTGCTTTACGATCGTATATGTTTAAGAATTGATGATTTTAAAATAAATTATTGTCTGAATATTCTGTTTATAATCTAGTTTCTTTATGTGTTCTACTCGATAACATTTGTTTGCGGAACACTGACCCGATGCAACGCGAATGAATTTGTTCATTTGCTGATAAGCAATTGAAATTTATGCTCAATTAAGGATAAGTTTTTTACTCATAAGTTGTGTGTTTTTGTCACTGGTCAGGCACTATTCATAGATATATCTGGGTTTATATAAGGCGAACTGAGAGAACAGTAAAAAAATGTTTGTTTAGAAAATTTTGTTTGCCCATCGGTGACTGCTTTGTTAGAGTGGCGTGGGTACGACCTCGTAAAAATACACGTTGGTAAAGTTTGTTTCAAAGCAGGACAGCACTGTAAATCTTATTCTTATCACATGCAACATATATCTGAGGAGTAGGAAAGAATAAACTTGAATTATGGGGATATATAAAATCAAACCAAATGCCCGGAAATACTCTTGTGTCGCAAACAATGAATTTGAATTTTGTAAATTTACTTGCGTGCATCTAACAAGCTTGCGATTGGTTTAAAAACAATCAGCTAAAGTCAGAACTCACACACGCGCATTAATTATCGTGCACCAGTCCCTTTAAGATACTGCAGGGAAATGAAACCTGACCACCCTGTTGGTCAAACAACACTTAGAAGAAATCTGATGAACTTACCTATTGGACCACCAAAAGGTGCTGCACTCACAATAAACCGGGATAAATCCACAGCATCTTGCCACTCCATACTGTACAGCTCTACTTTCCTGTTCAAGACAAACACATTTTGCAAAGAAAATTTCTGCTGTAATTCAATTATGGCTACAGTGTGTACATTTAAAATATTTCTCCATCCCTGACTGATTGGCTTAATTAAATTCCATGGCTGCCCCGGTATTTCTCTCCTGAGCTTGCTGGCTATTTGCCAAAATTGAAAGATGTTTGCTTCGATTTAAAGGCTGATGCCAATAGTAAAGTCTCAGACTGGAAAAGGTAAAAAAAAGATTAAAGGTGTGTGCAAGCCAAAGGCCCCAAAAGGCTGGAGCTTATCCCAGCTTCCTTAGCATGAAGCATGACTATAGGAGTCTTGCCATTCCCCCTTCTCCCCTAGATGGGATGATAGTCCATCGGAGGGTTACCCCAGCAGTATTTTGTCGGTATCCATTTATACACCTGGGTGAAGAGAGACAAAGTGGTGTAAAGTTCCTTGTCTAAGGAAACCATTCGAAACACAAGGATTGAACCCTGGACGTCCAGATCTGGAGTTCAAGGTGTTAACTGTTCTGTCACACACACCTCCAAACTGGAAAAGGATTCACAGAAATCAAGCAAAGAAGCAGAGTGATGGTTTGGCTGTTTTGGTGCTGAAGACCAAGAGTAAATGGTGGAAGATTTCACATGTTATGGGTAGATTAATGCCTGAGTCGCACTTGGAGGTTGGGTGCCTAGGAACTTACGGGCTGGAGCCACCAACCCCTAACCCAGGTAGCAAGAACACCCCAAAAGCCTGCCCTACCTGCAACCCAGCCACGAGCCCTGCCAGCCACACCCAGCCCCGGCCCAAGCACCCACACACTGAACTGAGATTTCAGTGGAGAAATAAGGACAATAATAACACTAACAATAATAATAAGGGGTGAGGAGGGAGGGAAAAAACACTAAAACTGAGTAACACTGAGCAAAACGCCCCGAACATTATGCACTTTAAAACTACAAGCACATCATTGCAAACGCAGACGCATAAATTGCAATGGAAAACCACTGACACAGGGGGCACTGGAAATTATCCCACAACAGGCTTAGTACAGTAACATGAACCCCAGCAAAAACAAAAGAGCATAGGATAACTGCCAGCTTGCCAAAGCGCACCAATATAAAACAAACGTCAATGCCACGCCATTGCCACGCTAAAGCCAAGATAACTACTAAGCAGCTACTGGAGCTCCTCATCGTTAACTAAGTTAAGTAACTATCTTTAACCCATTAAATTTCCTGACCTTCTCCCTCAAAAACAAACACAAAATGAAATAACACACAAAGGCACTGAAAACTACCATTTGAAGAATATCAGCAAGAAAATTATATCCCCTCATAATCTGGAACTGGCAAAAAACAGGCAGATGTTTGACTACTGGAATTTTACATAGAGGTAAGGATGTCTTCAGCTTGGAGGAAATATTTTGAATGAATAACAAAACAATAATAGGTACAGTCTGATCTGAAAAGAACCACTTACCTATAAAATACCTTTCCAAGTGGATTCCAATCAACTGTAACGTGAGCCATGTTATTCTCTGAGAGTGAATGAAACGAGTAGCAAGTGTAATCGGTGTAGTTTATCCAGGGTCTAATAAGTGCAACATGTGTAAAATTCTGGTGACAGCAGATCCACCATTTTGTTTGTGCATCTGCACATCAACTGGTCAGCAGACCCTGTAACAAGTAGAAAATCCCATGTTCCAGCGGGGGGTGGTGAACTTGGTAGTTTGTTTGTCCGGACGATCTTGGCCATCGTGACGTCACGAAGAGAGAAGCGCGCAACTTCGAGGAGTTTTCGAAAATGGCGCCGTTGTCATTTCCAAATGCTACTTTTAAAGTTGGTTTTCCTGGATATTGACGCTCCAAAATGGTTTTTGTCACGGTAGGATAGTGCAGTTCCAACATCTCTTTCCGAAAAGGTGAGTGAAATGTGTATTAATCCGAAAAATAACGCGTATGAGAGCTGTAAACAGTTTCGGTCAATTTCCTCGAGTGGAATAATGTGCCGCAAAAGTTTGCATGTTCGCACAGTAATATCGCATTTTCTCGAAATCGGTGAGGTGTTGAACATGGAAACTTGGCATAAGGGTGGGTTACTTCTATTGGAACACATTGTCTCTGAAGTTAATTGAGATAAACTTGCAGAAAAAATGATCAGTCCATTCGAGTGTGCCAGCGTAGCCTCTAAGCTGATGCAATGGTATTCATTACTTTGCTGTTATCTCCAATAATGCCAATAGTATCACCTATTCAAGCTGTCTTTTCGGGAAAAGTAAATTTTAAAGTAGCTTCTTGATAGAGGGAAAGTATAGTTGCAACAGCTCTTTCCGAGAAGGAGAGTTAATTGTATTATATTCTGATGATAATTACCTCGTAAACAGTCTAAACAGTTTAAGCCAATTTTTTCAAGTGGAATATTTGTCGCAGAAATTTGCATGATCGCATATTAACATCGCATGTCTTAGAAAATCGGTTTGGTGTGGAAATTCGAAACTTGGCAGAAGGGTAGATCAGCAATAGTGGAAAACATTGTCCTTGATGTTTAATGGGAGAAATTAGCAGTAAAAATGATCAGTCCATTCGAGTGCGCTTAATATTGATATAAAGAGATGACCTCGACTCGGTTACCCCGGCACAATGTAAGTCAATTATTTTTCGGTTTTAAGAAAAAGTAAACCAAAGACTTCCCTCAACACTATGTGTCTATAATAATTACACCAGGAATATATATATTTTTAACACTTGAAGGTTGTACCATATTGTTGAAGCAAAGGATATTTCTCTGTAATACCTATAAGCTTACATTAAGTTTTCATAAATAGCAATAAAAATTAATAAGATTTACATACAACTCCAAACATGTACATCTGTTATGCACGAAGCAATTTCATATCGTTCCATATCAATAGTTAGTGCGAATGGAGTCAAACATGTACAGCGAAACTTGTATAATGTAAGCGGACACCGCAGAGAATGCTGTAGTGCCCACTTAATACAAAGTTTCTTCCTACTACATACAGGTTTCGATAGAAAATGCCATATGAGGCAGACCTGCCAACTCTCACAATTCTGCCGTGAGTCTCACGATTTTTTAACTTTTCTCACGGTCTCACGACAAGACTCCCAATCCCATGGTTTTTTGGGAAATATTCTAAATTGAAATATTACCTTGTTGAATAAAAACGTAAATTTTGTGGGGAAATTCTTGTGCCTGGATAAGCTTTGACTATTTTAGCCATGAAGTTGTCTTAGCCCAAAGAAATGACTCTGCTGTATGTTTCGTCACAGTGATAACCTATTTTCTGGCCTCTTCAAGTCATCAAAGAAAAAGCGGCATCTAATTTGTTACATAAGGGACCACACTAAAGCAAGGTTATATTAAAATAAACAGTTGATTCCACTAATGGAAAATGGGTAGTTTAATTTTGATCGGGAAAAAATAGAATCTCACTACTTTTTGTAGAATCTCCCGATTTTTTTTCATGAGTCTACAGATTTTTCTTATTAGGGGTTGGCAGGTCTGTATGGGGAGCTAAGTACCATTCAAATAAAAGGCGGAAACATTTGGAATACTTCCAGAGATATGATGATATACATTTGCATTAATATCTTTATTTGTGTGGAGCAATTAATTAAACCTAGATTGTACCTCAAATTTTAAGATATCAAATGAGTGAAACAAACTTTATACAAACAAAAATGAAATGAGAAAGTACTGTAACTCATTTATATAAGTTACAGAAGTCCCCTGGTGACACCAGCCAAGTGCTGATAGGGCAAGACTCCCAATCTCATGGTTTTCTGGGAAAGCAAAAGGCATCTTAAAATAACAAAAGGCACATAGGGCTCAGCCGAATGGTACCATAATGACGTCAACACGTATGGAAACAGGCCTTTTCTCCGAAACCTGCCCCATTCCCCTATGGCTATTTTTATTTGCGTTTACCCTACTTCACCTCCCCTCCCCATACCTGATGAAACAAGGCTTTCAACAGTTTGTTGAGATAGGATGCTTTTTGTTTTAAAGGATGAGCTCACCATATTTTATTATCGTAGAGATGGGGGTAAGATAAGTTAACAATAATAGACAGATTATTATAGGTGGGTTACTCATTTTTACAGCTATCCCTGGAAGACGAAATGGAAGTAAGGAGCTGACTGGCAGCCACTGAGATTGAGCTGAGGAGAAAGGAAATTGAAAGAGAAGAGAAAGAGTTGAAAAGAAAAGAAGAAAGGTTAAAACAAAAAGCAAAAGAAATTAAAAACACAGTAATAGAGGCGAAGCACCGGGTAGCTGCCCAACTGCAACGAATGGTAGGGCAGCTAGACTGCTTGGCTAACCAAATTCTAGAAGAGACCAAAAATTAACGAAGAAGTAAAAGAAAAACACCAGTGTAAGAAAATTTTATTGATAACAAACCGTTTCTTTTAAACAAAGTCAATGTGCAAAGTTTTTAAATGTAAACAAGTCTAAGTCAGACCTGTTATGCAAGAAAGAAAACACATTAATTTTGTTCAGTATATAAAAAATAAAAGGAAACTGGTTCTTGTAATTTCTTGTATCCTGTATGGTCTCTTCTTGCTCCATGGAATCCACTCCATCTAACATCCTCCACTTCCCACACTGCACGACTCTCTTCGTGGAATCTATTATACTAGATCTTTACAGACATCTAGTAAGCAGCACCTCCTCCATCATACACTGCTTGTTTTTTCTCATCATCTACAGAGTATTCCCAACTAAGGAAGCACCTAATTGTAAAATCAGTCAGATAAAAAGAGATTATTTATATATACAAAGGTCAAAACAAAATAAATAAAGGCAATATTATCACTTAAAATCCCTAATTATTTGTTAAGCATCTCTTAAATCAGATGTTATAATGGTTTTCCTCACCTACTCCCTAAACTTCACATTAAACCACAAACACCACCCCCGCCCCCCCCCCCAAGCAATGGTAAAAAAATATGTCTCCCTTGAATTATAAATTTTTGTAACTTCAAGCAACCTATCAGGATAATCCAAAGACTGATTTCTAATCTTAAACCAATAGCTAAAAGGCAAGGCTATGTGAAATATATCAGCAGAGGCAGTACAACAGCAAATTTTAAAGAGGGGCTTTAGAGCTATTATAATGGACCACCTATAGTCATGGAACGATTGGGTCTTTACTAAGTTACGCCTACTGAGAAATTACCACAAAGCTACATCAGCTGGGTGATAAAACTGTACAAGCTGGGTGATAAAACTGTACGAGCAGGCCCCGAAGATTGTTGGAACTGGACAGTGTCACTTGATGTAACTGACAATAGCATGGAGTCCAAGTAAGTTAAAAAGCATCAATGATTGAAAATTAAACTGATGCCCCTGCACTCCCACTCCCAGTAGATCCCCTGCCTTGACATTACCTAATAAACATACATTGATACTCGTGTCATTTTCTGAACTCGTGTAGTTGTTGAACTATATGGTCGTTCTTGAACTTTGGTGTCTTTATTGAACTACACAAAAAGGAAAACCGAAAAAATGTATCTTTAAAGAAGTCTCTTTTTATATTGTAAAAGTGTGAGAAGGATGATGATATTCATCGCATGAAAATCCTGCAACTTTTTATATCCTTAGAAGTTTTTTCCCCCCACCTCATTTTTAATATGCGGACGCCCGAGGAAACACATTTTCAATATTTCACCATTGAAACGCTTACCAGCGTCCGTTTTCTTGGCTTTTTCTAGTTTTTTCTATTAACTCTGTAAAGAGATTAAGGCAAAGCTACATACCCATCCTTTCTGCGGATTCTCCTCCTGGACTCTCTGCATAAAGCCCTAAAAATGTTGATGTTGATCAAAAAGTTTAGCTCACGGCACTTTACCCCAGTGATAGATTCTGTTTGACTATTTACAGGATAAAAACCATGTTTTCCTTTGTTTGTGGGGCGAAGAAGCAAAGAGAAAGGCAATGTGAACTTATCTCCATCATTAGCAATGAATGTTTCGACAAAAAGATCGTAATTTATAGTGAAAAGTTGCAATACAATAAGCTATAATAATATCCTTGGTTATCGCCCGACGATTTGATTCAATACGCTTTATTAACATTTTGATACGTTTGACTCAAACAGGAAATCCTTTCAAAACCCTTGAAGATTATAGCCCATATTCTATAAAAAAAACACTTGCTTCTTACATTTGTTTAGTTTTAATGAATTGTTTACACAATTTGATAGTGTAGTATGAACATCATGACGCTATGTTTCGTGACCTGTCCACGCCACTTTCGCAATTTTTGTAAACATCCCTGAGGTTTGCGACTTTTATCCCACTGATCATTTTTGCTAACTTATTAGATGACTCACTTCTATCACTATTGAGAGACCCATACCATATTAACGTCATTTGTTTTTCTCGAGACTAAATTCTGCTGGGCTCTTTAGTTATGCGTCTCTAAAGACGCGCCGGTATGAGTTGTACCATCTGGTCGATCTCGGGAAGTTCTTGATTTTTTACGATGGAAATGCTCTTTCCTAGAATATATTGCAATTTTACTATATAGCATTAATAGATAAACACATACCTTCGGTCGTTTCATCGCAACGTCTCGACTTTTGCCTCTTGAAACCACGAAACAATTTCGCTCGCTGAATCCATTCAAAGTTCCCGGGATAAATTTCTCGTGACGTCACGATGGCCAAGATCATCCGCCGCGCGATTGACGAGTTCATCACCGCCCCCTGCCATGTTCCTATCGGGTAATAATTTTCTTCGTGTAAGCATACATGAAGGAGGTTGAGAGTTTTCAAGATGGCTGTCCCCAAAGCGAAGGGCTATCGGCCGAGATGCTTCTTTGATGTTCAAATAAATGGATCTCCAGGTAAGAAACGTTAAATGCCTCGGATAAAATGTTTGCATGGGCTGCTGTTTTTCAAAGTCAAGTCATTTGGGTAGAGAAGCGGCTGAAATTCAGGCCATAACTCAATAATAATTATTGGAAATAATCAAGCAAGTGTCTAGATAACCTACAGCCGAAAACGGTTTCGGCATTGAGAAATTTTGAGCAATTTTCTCCAAATAGCTCGTTTAATTCTTCTAACAACATAAGGTATTTGTTGAGAAATCTCAAGCGATTATAAATATTGCCTTGGGTTAAAAGTAGAAGCGACTGTCGAGCGTGGGCATAGAGTAAAATCTGAATGTTTTCGACACTTAGAGAATATTCAAGTTCTGACACACTAAGTCAACTCCCGATGAATATCCACAGAAACTATCAACGAAACCTCACCAGAGTATTTAGTGTTTGTTCAGAAATGCCAAGCGATTCTAAATAAAGGTTTCGTATTGTTGTGGACAAATTCTCCGCGCTTGCATTGTAAGCATATTCTTTAGAATCTTGACTCACGGGTATGGTTTTCAAAATACTAGATGCCCGGCAGTCGGAAATTCACGTCCAATTTACACGAAATATCTCATTTACTTTGTGTAAAAACTTCAGGAAGTTGTTTAGAAAACTCAAGCGATTTCAAATACTGCTTTGGGCTTGAAGTAGAGGCAACCGTCGAGCCTTCTTGACCCATTTTTGCCGTTCTCCTTGCCATCGCCGGATCGTGAAGTCCCTATAGCATTTGTGTCACGCAATAAATTGTAGGGTTACACCGGAAGTTGAAGGGCACTCTTCTGCCGAGTCGACAAATTTCACGTTGTTTGTAACTCACAGGAACGTCTCCCGAGGATATCTGTTAAGACTACAGACTCTTTATAATTTTACACACAAATTGAGTAGACTCGGCAGATGCCGAGAAAGATTTTAGTGAAAGTACCGGTGAGTTAAGATTCTAAAGAATATGCTTAATGCAAGCTCGGAGAATTTGTCCACAACAATACGATGGTGAGGTTTCGTTGATAATTTCTTTGGATATTCATCGGGAGTTGACTCAGTGTGTCTGACTGCTGGGTATCTAGATTTTTGAAAACAGTTCTTGGCTGCCGGGTATCTAGACACGTCAAATAATCAATTAGAAGCTTAAGCTTATATTAAGCTTAATATAGAAAAAGTTTTGCTTCTTTGATTTTAATCAATCTCTATAATTTTAAACTTAAATTAATGTGACTGTGTAGCATTGGTTATGAATGCTTACTTCTCTTAATTAATGATTTGAGCCTATGAACACTGTGATATTCTAAATTTTTTTATGGATTATTTTGGCCAATTGATTGAAATCAATAAGGTTTCCAATGAGCAACCTCAGTCTTCTTGTAACATAGAAAGAGAAGTAGGTGGGTACAAAGGAAGGCAGGTTTGAAAGAACCTCAAATCTAAAACTTTTAAATCTTGCTTGATTTAAATTAAGAATCAATTTTGCATTCTTTGTAGCTGGCAGGATTATTGTTGAACTGTTTGCTGACATCTGTCCTAAGACATCTGACAACTTTAGAGCATTGTGCACAGGTAGGGAAGTAGGTATTAATGTAGATACATGTGCTACTACTACCACTACCAACTACTTTATTAATATTAATAATAATAGTAATGATAATAATGATAATAACAATAATATCATTTTTCATACATGGTAACCACATCAGTTACATATTACATGTAAATGTTAGTGTTTTAGAGTTGATGTGTGGTTGACTGTACTCACTTGTAAGTGGGATGGGGTCATAATATTAAATTCATGGCTACTTCCTTCCACTGACTTACAATGCATTAAGACAAGGAGTCACGGACTCTTAAATGATAACACAGAAAAAATGAAAAGCAGACATTAAAACCTTTAGCAAGTGTATTCTAAAACTAAAAGTAATAACAGTGTTCCAGATAAGAGATGGGTCTTGGGTCAATGACCAGACAAAGAAGGCTTCCTGACCCGACAGATAACATATAAGTTTTAAGTTAAATATGGCAAAAAAATTAGCAGGTGGTCTTGGTGACCCCTCAGATGGTCTACATGACCCCCCTCTTGAAATAATTAACTGGAACACTGAATAAGAGGCCTAAAAAAATGCCAGAATTGACATAATGATGAGAGACTACTGATAAACTAATGCAATAGTGTATAATACTGTAAATTGCTGAACTTTTAAGGAAATTAATGGCTATTTTTTAAGTGATCAACTTGATATTTCATAGAAACTTTAAACAAGATTTTTTGGATTAACTTTGAACCTGTTTTTTAGGTGAAAAAGGTTTAAGCAGGACTTCTGGGAAGGCTCTTCACTATAAAGGATCAGGGTTCCATTGAGTTATCAAGGATTTTATGATTCAAGGAGGAGACTTTACTAAAGGTACTTTTATTTTTATATCAAGATGGTAAATGAAAAGGCACACTTAAGCTAAAGGCTCAGATGGCCGGAGCTTTTCCTGGTTTCCTCAGCATGAAGCATGCCTAGGAGTATTGCTACCCCCCTCCCCCTCACCCTGGACATAATCGCTGGGTTACCCTCCAGCAGTATGTCACCTGTGCCCATATTTATACACCTGGGTGAAGAGAGGCCAAGTGGAGTAAAGTTCCTTGTCTAAGGAAACAATGCAGTGGGTGACTTTAAACCACAGACAGTTTTGTAATAAGAACAGCAGTGTTTCACAGAGTTTTTAAAAGCTTCTGACTATTAACACCTGATGCAAGGTGCTTGTTACTTTTCATGTTCGTATCAGATATTTTTTTGATCTGTAAAACATGTACTACATCAGTCTTCTAGGTAACACTAAGCAAAATTTTTAGTTGGTTTCTCACTGGATGTGTGTCAATAATTTTTTGCCAAAAATTGCCGCTTCAATGATTCTTGCACTACACGATTCTAGTAGCGTGATGATAATCACATAGTGTGCGACAAGATTCTCATTGCGCAGGAAACGAGACATGACTGGTAACTTACTTTTGAGCGGTACTGTTTGTCATGTGCTGTACAAATCATTCTTTGCAACCCTTTGATCAATTAGAGCATGCATTTAAAATTTGTTAAATAAATTATAATTTTTCTATTATTTTGTCTATCACAGGAAATGGGACTGGAGGAGAGTCAATTTATGGTGGCACATTTAATGGTTTGTAGCTTCACAGTATTAATCTCGACAACAGGATGTGCACTTAGAGTCAGATTTGTAGTTGTAAAAATTGAAGAAGTGCAATTGCTGAGGATTGAGTATAGTAAACCTTTAATATCTGAATTGATTTTGTGTTATAGTCAAACAGGAATTTTATCAGTAGTTTGTCAGGCCTCGTTGTAAACATAAAATTGAGTTGACTACAGTGAAACCCTGTTATAATGAAGAGCCAAGGGACTGGCGAAATATGTTAATGTCTCTGATCCTTTATAATGCATGTTAAACACGAAGTAATTTAATTATTAAACAAACAATGAGAAGTTGGCCTTAAATGGGGGAGCACTGCCTTGCACTAGGTTAGCCTGTGCGACTTCCAGCGATGGCGTGACCAAAGAACCTCACTTATCTCCCTAGCACTACGAGCTGAATGCAATACAGCATGTGCCGGATCGGACAAGAGTACCAGTTTGCAGGCAATAATTATTATTAAACAGCAATGCAGCCAACAAGCATGGGGGAAGTCACTCCACAGACTTAATTGCACCTCCGAGGAGTGTCTCTACATTATTTGATTGCATAGCACAAAACAACGCCCATACCTTGATCGTCTCCAAAGGGAGGGAGGGAGGGAAAAATTTTACACGACTAGTATACTGAGCACTTAAACCTTGCTGAACAATGGAACCCAAGTGAACTCTGAACAGTTGTTCTTGGCTTTTATAGCCAGACGAATGTCTGCTGGCATAGCCAGTAGAAAAGGCTGTACTACAAGACCGCTCAGCGTTACACATGCACACTCTTAGCCATGAATAGTGGTTTCAAAATACTGGCCAATGCTGTGGCTCGTACTAGCCTGCTTAAGACAAGAAGGCCGTAAAGTTCTACACTAGAATACAATTCATCTTAGAGCTTGCTGAACTTGACAACTACATTTTACTGGTGTTATTTTCCATATATTTTACTATTACTGGGGTTAAAAGAAAATCGTTCATTGTATCCAGGACTTCATTATATCAAGGTTCTACTGTTCTACAATGACTCTTATCTCAGGGCTGTGGCTAAAATTTCAAGTTGCTGGGTAAATGCAATTAGTAGGAGGGGAATTGTACTGAGCTAGGAATTAGTTCTTTTGGTTCTGTTTTCGTTTTGTTTCCTATAAGAGAAGCCAGGGCTCACACTCATAGTACCCAGGTAAAATCCCCAGCCCCCGGTTCGTAGTGACAGCCCTGTATCTTCCAGTGAACTTACACCTCATGCAAATCTGTGTCTTACAATTTATTATCTTTTACACAAGATGTTCTCAGCTTTTGATTGGTTTATATTAATCTGTCAGCTAATAATTCAGCTTGTTCATGATGTGGAGAATGAAACAATGTTGTGCAATATTGGATTATGTAATAACATTACAGATCTCAGCATTTAATGACACTCTTATTGATCTTCATTTAACTATAACAGTAAAAAGGGCTTAATTTGCTTATTGATACTAAGCAAATTATGCCCTTTTTCAGGAAACCCTTAATTTTTTATTAATAACTATTATAAAGCTGATCTAATGGGGTGTATATTTTTAACTGCTTATCTAAATAATATATGAAAATAATTGAGTTTTTTGTTAACTGGGGCTGAAACGTATGAGAAGTACAAACATGTAATTGTGATAACTGCAGTGATTTACTTGTCATATTAAGTTTTTCATTTTTTTTGTTTTCCCTATAACAGATGAAGGATTCAATCTTAAGCATGAGACAGCAATGTTGTTGTCCATGGCTAACAGAGGTCCAAACACTAATGGTTCTCAGTTTTTTATGTAAGTATTTGATCTTTTAAGAGATAGAAACCACCCTATAAATTTGAAACCAAGTATAAAATTCAACTGCATCATGCATGTAGATGTGTAGTATAAGTCAGGTCCTGATCACTCAAAGATTGGATGCATGTAGTGCTATCCACTGTATAAATAATTATTATTAATTATCACTATGGAGTGGTTAGAGTGTCATGAAATCCAATTGCCTTGCCCTCTGGATAGTAATTTACCTGGCCCCAGTTGTTCAAACGTTGGATAGCGCTATCCACCGGATAAATCACTATCCAGCGGATAGCGTAATTGGTTTCCCTAATACTTATCCGTTGAATAGTGATTTATCCAGTGGATAGCGTTATCCAACGTTTGAACAACTGGGGCCTGATGAATAGCATTACTCACCTTCTGAGCAACTGGACACTGTTAACTTAATTACACTGGCAAAAATGGTTCAGTTCTTTTTGAATTTCCTGCTGTTGTCTAATTTTCCCCGCCTTTAATTCTCAATTCTTTTCTTTTCTCAAGGCCCCAGGTTCAAGTTTAAAAGGGGGTTTATGTACTTCAATGTATCAACTTGATAATATTAATCTCTATCCAGTCGTTGATCCAGTTGTTTTCCCTAATTAATACTTATCCACTGGATATTAATTTATCTGCTAAATAGCAACCTGATCCAAGGAGTGAACAACTTGGGCCAGATTTCAGGTCTTCAAAGGTAAAATGACATCTCTGTGATACGTTAAACAATATTGTAGTGTGAATAAAGACAAAGTTTTAATGTTTTAAGTTTTTATAGTGTGTTTATTTTGCTTTTCACAGAACAACTCAGCCTGCCCCACATCTTGATGGGTAAGTTTTCTTTTAACTTGATTCAGCTGTTCTTACTGACAGAAAGGAAATTTCTGTTAGCATTATGATGTTATTGGTACAGACAAGACAGTGTTTCACATGGTTTCATTTTTTCAATTTCAATACACAAATATAAAAAAGGGCATCAAATTTTGCTATGTTATTTTTCAAACATCTGAATTTTTAAAAGATATCAAGATAAATGTAACAAACAAAATGCATATTAACATTATTCCACAACAGAATAAAAATTACCAGTAAAACCAGTTCGTAATTAAATTTTGTTGTCGATACACCTAGGCTCTACAGTAGAAACAGTTGTTGTTATTAAATCTTAATCGTTTTTATATGATTTGAATTTTCTATGGGTATTAAATTAAAATTTTTTGCGTGTTTTCGTTTTGTGAGGATATTAATTCCCGAAACAAATATTGTGAAATAAAAAAAAAAAATGTGAAATTGGGTAATGGCATTGTACATGACTTGTACACATAATGCATTTTTGTTTGTTGCCACTCAAAAGCAAGTCACAGATCAATGATTACCCACACTTCAACAATGTTGCTCTTGCTTATATTGTGGTATATTTATTTTATTTGTAGGATTCATGTGATATTTGGCCAAGTATTGCAAGGTCAGGAAATAGTGTCAGAGATAGAGATTCAAAGAGTTGATGACAAGAGTAGGCCCCTAGTGGATGTAAAGATTATTAACTGTGGTGAACTTATTCCAAAAGCAAAGGCTAAAGGTACAGGATATGTTTCCATTGACTAAATTTATGTACAGAACTGTGCTCTAACAGCAGTGCTGTCCGCTGACCCCTGGCATCATACTTTAGCTCTTGGGTGATGTCTTACTGTTATTTGTTAACTTTCAACTGCAGAGAAGAAAGCTGAAAAGAAAAGAAGGAAATCTAAGCGACATTCTGACAGCAGCTCCTCAGATACTGACTCTTCAGAATCAGACAGTGATCAGTCATCAACTGATGAGTGGGAGAAAAAGAAACGCATAAAAAAGAAAAGGAGAAAAAAGATGAGTGAATCTGTAAAACGCAAGGACAAGAAGAAAGCAAAGAAGAAAAAGAAAGAGATAAAAGACAGGTAAGTGGCTGTAACTACACCACAAATACATCAATACACAAACATTTAACAAATACATACAAAAAATGCAAATCTGGTAAAAATGAATACTGTGAATAAAATAATTAATGACTTAATAAAAAAATGCATAGACATATAATTTCAAAAATTAACATTGTTCGCAAAAGGTACAGCATTCAATAATTCATTCATTACACTCAAATGACAACATGTACTTGTAGATAGATTTGGTTGAGTAGCAAAAAGGACTGATAGAGCCACTGTGCCGAGTGCAGAGCATAACCGTGGCAATCAACATGTTGAATTCCAAACAAGTTGAGGAGTAAGGGCAAGTCAAAGAGGTTAGGGAGAAAGTAGCCTGTGTAGTAAGCGTTTTTGTGTGGTTTCGGAGCAGAGAAAGATGGAGGAATGACATGGAACAGGATTTTTGGTTTTGGTCGCACCAAAAATAGAACAAGAGCAAACTCTTGCTACGCAGGCTAGGGAGAAAGAAGAGAAAACAATATATTATTTTTTCTCCCCTCCCCCTTCTTACATCCTTTTTTTACCCCATGACTAGTCCAAGAGTTGCTATTTCTATTCTCCCCTGTCTTTCTCAGTGGTCAAAGATGGCAGCCATGGCAATGCAGACAAGCATTTTTTGCCCACCTTAAAAATTTGTCTGCATTGCTGGCTTCCCTGAGAGTATTTACACATACCTCGCACTAACCCAGGGTTATCTTAACCCAGCTTTGAACAAACCTGGCCAAGTAAATGATAAGCAAAGGAATCTGTGGCTACATTTGAGGTCCCATATTACATAATAATGTTGCTTTTTAATTTACGCCCCCTTCCCTGTTGGTGAAATATTGACACTAATATCAGCAATTAATTTGAATTCCAGTCCAGGAGATGTTAAACCAAAGAGTCCTGAACCTTTTAGTTCAGTGGCTGTGGATGAGATCCCAGATGTTCCCAATAATTCTTTTCTATTGAGAAGAAGCCGCACCCCCTCCCCTGTCAGGGAAAAGAGGCTTCAGCAGGCAAAAAATAGGTATGTTTTCTCTGAGGTACACCTGACCTTAGTCATTTCTACGAGAGCTTGGCTCATTCCCTTTTCGGTGCATAATTATCATGAATTAGGAATTTTTGAGCATGTAAGTCCATACTAAATTTGCAAATGATAAATTTTGCGCAAGGCAAAGCTCTTTCTTTGTTCAAAGCTCTGAGGTATATACTATTCAAATTAATTGTGACATACAAAAGTACTTTGGAATGGCAAGACAACTAGATTTCATCCACGGACTCAAAACTAAGAAGTGCATTTCATCCAACGTGGCTGATTACACACTAAGGAAATGGTACCATGTGAAAGTACTACTGATGGAAGAGGTTTCATTTGAATGGTCACACCATAGGATTTCATCCACAGACTCAAAAATTAAAACTACATAGTACCATGTGATAGCACTGCTCAATTGATTCTGATGGCAAATGGTTCAGAAAACGTTGATCAGATGTTGAGAGATAGATGTCAGTAGTATCTTCAAGTTGTTTATATTATTTTCTGTTTGTATGACCACAGGAAAAGTAAGTCTCCTCCAGGGTATAAAGCTCCGCCTCAAAGTAATTCACAGGAAAGGACCAGGGTATGTACACCTGCTGAAATGATATTGTTTGGGAGATCAGTAGACCTTATTTCATTGTATCCACCATCTTCGCATGCACTTCAGGACTGATTAATCACGTGACTTTGCATTTATCCCATCAACCCTTGAACGCGTGCAAAGATGGTGGTTGTTGTGAATAAGGTCTATACCTTCAACAGAAAATATCCACAATTATTAATAAATCAATTACATCGGAGTCTCTTGGTTCTTAAAATGAAGCTTGGATTCTGCGGGTAACTATTTTTCTTTCTTTTAACACAATTATAAAACTTTTTACCCTCTATCATCTATCTCTGTCTGTTTTTCTTATCGGCAGGTTTCCAGGTCGGGAAGGATTCTACGAGGACGAGGAAATATGGTGAGGAAATTCCCCTGGTATTAGTTTAAACTTCCTCACGAGAAAAACAATACACCAGTAGAAAAGGAAATCACCAACTAATGAATCATTTAGAAACAAAACAAGGCAAAACACATATCTGAAAACCCACTTACAGTGTACCCCCCTTCCGCCTTCCGCCCCCCTAAGCAAAGAGCCTGGCCCGAGGCTACTCCATCGGTTTGAAACAGAACTTAATCACTGATTTTTATTTTGTCAGCGGTATCGCACACCCCCGCCTTCTTCTCCGGATGAAACGCGGAACATTTCGCGCCGTTTTTCTCCACCTTTGGTGGCTCGGTTAAGGTCTCCACGCAGGCGTACAAGGTCTCCTATGCGTCTTCCACGATCACCATTTAGACAGTCGAGGTCTTCTCGAGAACGCTCTAGATCTCCCCGTCGACGCTCGAATTCTCCTCGAAGACCCCCGATGTCTTCTCGAAGACGCTCGAAGTCTCCACAAAAACAATTAAATTCCTCACAGAGACGCTCGCTGTCACCTCAAAGAGCCCCGATTTCTTCTCGACGACGGTCGACGTCTCCACGAAAACACTCAAATTCCCCACAGAGATGCTCGCCGTCTCCACGGAGACGCTCGGGGTCTCCGCGACAACGCTGGAGGTCTACTCGAAGACATTCGAAGTCCCCACGATCACAGTTACTTCAGAGAACAGATAGCAAACAGCATATGAAAGACCGTGAATCAGCGGAAAGAATAATGAAACAGAGCTACTCAGTAAGAGATGGTAAAAGCAGTGATAAATTTGCAACAGTTGAAACACGAGGTGAAAGGAACTCAAATGATGAAAAAACTAACGAATGTTCACCTACAATTGAAGAGCGCTTTCCAGAAAGTCGACGGGAAGAAGAGGAAAAGACCTTTTCTAATGAAGGCTATGCAAGGTCAAAGTTTGCTTCAATCAATGAAACTGGCAGACACAGGAGAGGAGAAAATACTAGCAGTAACAGCGACAGTGAGGAATTTGAACAAGAAAGTCGAGACATTTTGTACAGATTGGAAAAAGAAAGCCATCTTGCGCGTAAAGAAGACATTAGGGACATACGGAAACCAATTTCTTACTCGAACGGTGACGAACAGACATGGAGAAGCTTAGCTCGTGATTATGAGTTTGAAGAAGGTCATGGAACTTTGGAGGCGCAAAGTTATGCACCCATTCCATTAAGCAAAGAACGTGAAAATAACCGAGAACGTCTACAATGTCGCGTTAAAAATAACGATGAACAGATTTCTCCAAACGAAGAAAGCGCAGGCAGTGAACAAGAGGACAAACGAGCTTTCCTTCAGGGTGAAGGAAGGTTTAAACATCAGGGTATCTCAGAACGTAAAACTGGTCGTCGACAGCGCAGTAGGAGTTTTGATAGACGCAGAAGCAGCTTTCAGGAGAGCGACCGGAACCGGAAGTCGCGTCATCACCATCGTCGTCATCATCATCGTCATCATCATCATCGACACCATCATAAAAGAGACGCGAGGCAATCGGAAAGAAACATTGTCGTGACCGAGAAAGATCAGGACAGTTCAAGTGACTGACTTAACTGCTTGTAAACTTCTCAAAGATCGGTGAGATCGTGAACGTAAACAGCACTTTTGTACGTTTCTCTGTAGAAACAGTCGAAAACGACACTAAAACGTGCAAAAGGAAGTTATGTCCTGAGACAAATAAGAAACGAACTCACATCCGTTCAAACTTTTTCCAAGTTTTCCGAAGCTTTAATTCAAACCCCTGTCTAAAGAGAGAAGAACAGGCATTTATTCATGACTTATCCTTTAACGACATATTTATTGTCTTTCATACTTGCATCAATTTTCCCTTTTGATGGCTACTTATCGTAAACTGCCGCTTCTACATCTTGGTAAGGGGTTTTAGGAGGGTTTATAAACGGAGGGGCTTACATCCGAGGGAGCTTATCACAGGACTAGAAAACGCTTCGAAACAATCTACAGAAGTGCAAGTCAAAATAATTTTGCATTTACTGGTTTTTAACTAAACGTCAAAAGATCATAATAAATCGAAATTCATTTCAATACATTTGGGGGGTGGGGATTATAATCGGATGTATTTTTTTGTTTACGGGTTGATGGGTCTATAGCTGGTGGGGGTAGGGGGTGGGGGGCTTTATAAGCGGCTTGTTGCAGTATATCCAGGATCGAATCCTAATGTGATGCACTATCCTTATGACAGCCATCACAAAGTGTCCTAATGAACAGAACATCATCAAAATACATGTAATTCGATCAAATATGAAGTAGTGTAAAAATGAGAAAGAACCCAGTCAAGTATGAAGTATGTTACGGTATAATTCAACCGACAGAAAAATACAAAAAAACTCTCCTTAAAATCAACTAATTTAATTAACTATACTTCAAGTGATAACTACAACTCGGGAGCGACAACCTTACAACAAACTACTTAGAGCCTATTATTAACCTTCAGTCGCCACTGACACAAACTCACAGTAGCCACTGCTATCACCAAACGTCCTGGAGCCACTTGGAATGACTTCAAAGTACTCCTCAACAAACTGCTATAGCTCTCCCAGCATAACTTCTCCTATCAATCTCAGCCGTAACAACAACAACTAACTCAAAGCTCACTAAGCCCTTATATACAGTCATTTCATGTTCTAGATAGTTCTAAGAGCTTACAAGACTACTATTTTTGTAACATTACATCGTGAGTTACATCATCCGGCAGAATGTTCTAGACAGTTCTACTACGTGACAATAGAAAGTTCTAGTACAAACATCGCGTGACTGGAAAACTCCAGAAGCTTGTTATTTACATTAGCTCTCCATAACAAGTATTTTAATACAATGTGCGTTTAATCTTGGATATATTAACTAACTCTTAGAGCTGGTTTTGTGTTGTTACGCCGCAGGGAGCTTGGGCTTCTTTGAAGTCCTTTAATACACATGTACAGGCTCTTGATATGTGTTACTGACCAAGCGTGAGATCAAGAAGGCTGGATATTGATCAAGTTCTTGTTTCGCATTCACGGATCAAAAAGACGATAATAACAACGCAAAAAAAGAACGAGGAGGCCAATATCCAGCCATCTTACCCGAACAAGCTGGGACAATAAGGGATTTATTTCATGGCCAAAAAGATATCATTTTCTTGCTGGACCGAGGCGGAAAATGTCGAAAGGCAAGATGGGCACATCTTTCAGGCTCAGTCGAGTAGCCAATCAGTACACAGGTTTCGCGTCATATTGCCGGCTCGCGGATTCAGCCATGCTAATAATCCTTAAAATAGCCTGGGTGCCCTGTTTCTGGGGTGCATCGTTTGCCTGTTTCTGTTAAAGCATCTCCAGATTTTTATTTGCGTGATCAACTTTTCAACACGAATTATAAAACGCTGTCGGAAAGCATCAAAAGTCTTTCATGTTTTAACGCCTCGGGGAATTTTATTAACCTGTGGTTAACTGTGTTAAAATCTTTAAGGAATGGTAAGCAAGCAATATTCCGGAACCGCGTTATTTTGATTGTGACCTAAATCATAGAAATCCTTTGACCCATAAAAGGGTGTCGCCCGTGTCTGTTTATATCAACCGCTATAAAACCAAAAAATATTATATCATTATTTTCTAGCTTCTGGCTAAAATATTTCGTAACTGCGGTAGCCCCAAAATTCCCGCGCTTTCTGGTGAAGACAACTCAGTTTAACTCTGAGAAACTGGCCCCAGTTGGTTATCCACGTCACCAGTTAAATCGTTATCCAACGGATATCAAGTATTAAGGACACCACTGAATTGCATGCACTATCCGTTTGATAGAAATTTGTCCAGTGGATAGCGTTATCCACCTTTGGAACGACTGGGGCCTGGAGATTAAACACAAAGGCGGCAAATTCGTGTTCCATAAAAAAATAGACGTTTTATTGTCAACAGTCTTTGATGCAACAATGCTAAAAGGAGGAAGCCAAGAAAAAAGGGACCGGAGACAGGAATGCAAGATGGAGGAGGCGGGAGCGGTCTGGACCCCTTGTTTCCCCCCAAAATGGAGTGTAATTAAATAAGCAGCAAAATTGAGTTTTACGGAGGCGTCAAATGTCAACAGTACATGTTTGATGGTGTTAAAAAACTGGGGAAAAGGGGCTACTCACTAGAAGATTTACATAGTTTTATATACCATTTTCACTGAAAAGGTACCTCTTTCGTATACCTTCCATTGAAAATACTACCCGGCCTTTACACGGCCTACCTAATAAGAATGAATCGCTAAAACAGGAAGTGTTTATGTCATTTTATTAGAGTGACGTTTAATAAATAAAAATGATATAGCAAATATATTTTAATACTTTCAAAAAATGTTTTTGGACCTTTTATTTACCTCAACAGTGAATGTCCCTGTCTTTGATAAACCTTAATGAAAGCCTCAAAATCCGGGCACCCCTTTTCGGGCAGAACCTGTGCGGGTATAAGCGATTGTAGGAAGCCCTAATCACCCTTCCCCGGGTGTAAAGCGTCGTTGAAAAGCCAGCTGTTCTCTTAAATTAAATTTGACTTCATAAACCGGTCTCACGCTTGCTACTAATTGTAAAGCTAAATGTGGGACAATTTTCTAGCTTTTGCTTGATGAAGACCTGAATGCAGAAGAAAACAGTACTGCACAAGTTTTAATTCGATTTCAAGTTGGTAGTCTAGTGAAGTGACTGTAGTTGTTCTGCACGGGTGGTCGTCCTGATGATCGTATATTTTAGGAACGTTTTGTTGCAATGCAGTAAAAACTCCCAATTAAGAACCTGCATTTTTCCAAGTTAGCCTAAACAAGTTCTTACAGAAATGGTATAATTAGCACAAATTTAGGCTATTTAGGTTCTTAAATAGGTTCTTATTTTTAAAAAAAAAATAGATTGTAATATAGCTAAGAGTATTTAGTGGTATTCAGATTATTCTCTAATAAAATCTGCATAGGTAGTCAGCTCGGATTCGCTAATAAAATCTGCATACTATTACATTCAGCTTTACATTGCAGTTGGACCGATAATTCTTCAAAGAGGATCCTGAATGCTGGCTTATCTTATTTGCTTAATCTTACCGCTGTATTTCTTTTTATAGATTTTAGAAAATAAGAACTTATTTCAAATTTCAGGCTTAACAGGTTCTTGTATAGAAGGGGCCTAACTGGCAAATTTTAGCCTAAGAGGTTCTCAAGAAACAAGGTTCTTAGTCGCGGGTTTTGACTGTATCCCAATACCCTTTATACATGAAATTTCCTCATAATAAAACTGAATTCCTAACAGCATCTTTTTACTACTAGGATAGAGACCGAAACAGGAACAGCTGAAAAGTAATAGATTTGTTTTAGGAGCGGATGTTATTTCCACGGTTGGTCGATAGTCAAGTTAGTTGTAGTAATTTTAAGACTAAAGAATGACTTGATTAATCGAGGTCATTGACTATTCAATTCCTTTGCATTGATTCAATCACGTCCCTGTCTATATGATCAAGTTTTTATCTTTCGTATAATATCATTTTTTTCCCCAAAACAAGCAAACAAGTGTTTCACTGTAAGACACAGAACGCGGAATTCACTGGAAACTCAAAAGTTGTCGACAGAGAAATTATGATTAGTAATTCACTTGAGGTACAATCATTAAAGTGTATCGAGGATCGTTTACTGCTATCTCACTTGGGAATTGAAATCAACATTCATTAATATAACTGGCGATAGATATCAAAGAAGCCATCAGGGGGAATGAAAAATAAGGATATGATGATCTGGACCTGTTAAGTCTTCCGCTTTTTTTCGACTCAGTGTGCTTACATGTTAAGAGTCTCTTAAATTAATTGTTTGTTTCTTCCTTTCTGAATAAATGTTATCTTTATCATTAGTGAGTCAGCGAAAACACAATGGCCAACGGGGAATAAAAACAAAATTCCAAGAATATTTTTGTCTGGAAACTCCATAAAAAAAAAATTGTGGACAGCTAACAGTCAGTAAAGTTCAGCTCAGTTCTTCGTCACCATTTAAACGCGCAGTCTATTCGCCAATAGTCCGGCAGCCGGGTAAATCCTTAGATACAGAGCAGGTAAGAACGAGAACTCTATCTAAAAGACTTTTTTAAATAAACTTGTATATCTCGTAGTTTATGATCTGACTAGTCTTAGCAAACTTTAAAGAGTTAGTACTGACTGAATTTATTCATATTGGATCATTGAAGTTTACCTTCCAACTTGAGTAATGTTGGGGGAAGTTGTATCTCTTAACTTTACCATTAATAGTCTGATATCACTTAACTTGTGAAATAGATAGCAGGCACTTCTTCACAGCATCACACTCTAATTTCATTAATTTCTTTTGTTTAGTCATAAACTATTGAGCACTAATTGTTACGAGATAGTGCTCTTCGGGTTACATAAAATGAAATGATTAAACTATCTCGATAACTATTAGCAACCACAAGTTTCTTTTTTCCGATTAATCTTCTCTTATGTGCCGGAAGTCAGCTCAAAACTAATTAATAGTATAGATATGTTTTAGGAGCGGATAATATTTGACCACGGTTGGTCGATAAGTTTTAGTAATTTTTAGAGGTGGGGGTAAGAGTTTGCGGTGATGCGGGTTTGCTCGATTT